TTATAATTTTTTTTATTTAAATCTAAGTAAATTTCACTCTAAAATGATGTTAAACTGCAAAGACAATTCAAAATAAAAAAAATATCATACAATCCAAGCGTAATCTAAAAACAAACACAAAAGACGAATAAATAAGTTTTTAATATCGATAATTTTTGTATCATTTGTCCATTTATAATATTAGAGTCTTGAATAGATAAATTTATAATATTTTTTCTCTTTGAGACATCTTTGTTTTTATCTCCATCTACAATATAATAAAAAAAATGATAACTAATAATATTGAAACACAAAATACTAAATAATTAAATTAAATTAGATGGGTTGGTGAGTCAACCCAGCTCACCACGAGTTTAACCCGGGTGAGTCGGGTTCTAAGTGAACCGGATTGAAAAGTAACCTACATAAAAAAATTACATTTTTTTCAAATCCAACCCAACTCAAATCTGTGATGGACCGGGTTAGCTCGCGGGTAAGAGTAAGAGATTCCGAGCAAGACATATGTAATGAGTTTAGTACCTATTTTTTTTGCTTTCACAGCATAGTACTTCTTTTCCTTTGGACTCCACCAATGTCATTTTCTAGTCAAACTTCATATGACATCCTCTTATATTATATATTTAATAAAAACAAAAGCTACAATTTTCATTCTGGAGACAATTCAAATTCCTCTTAAAAACTTCTTTTTATTGAAAATACATTATTTCTTTTTCGATAATTGAACTTAAAATGAATATGTATAATACAATAAAAACCGTACTTCAAATGAAGAATTCCGTAAACATAGTAAACTATCGTGTCTATGTACTCCCAACTTAGTTTGATATTAATAAAATATAATAGTCATATCATTCAATAATTAAATTAGAAATTAAATTAGAGTAGAAAATTTTCAAATATTTAATATGTCAATTCAATGTAACAATTATTTCTGGAAGACACCACTAAGATGTCACTAGTGACATCTACTATTCTTGAAAAAGAAAAGTAATTTTTTTTTCAAGAACCAACAAATACACTTGTGATTTCCACCATTCATGAAAACAAAGTATCTACAATTGCTTATTGTAGAAAATATAATGCCCTCCAAGTCCTTCTTATTCCTCTTTCAACTTCTTCCTCTTGATATCTATTAGTGTAGAAATGTCTAATATGAAATTATCTTCTTCAATCTCCCATGAATCTCAGAGCAAATAAATGTCTTTACTTTAGTACTCTAGAAATCATAGTTTTCATCTATAAAGTAAGGTACAAAAGAACAAATGAAAGACGATTAATTAACCATAATAAAAATTTTAGGAGTAATTTGGAATGTAATGAATTTTTTTCATAGATAATTAGACACTATGTCTATTTTAATAAATTATCCAATATAACCCTTTTTCCATCATTAGAATTTAATAGAGTACAGTCAACAAAATTGTCGGCTATACGAGAGGTGAATTTAATGCCTTATTTATTTTACGATGTGAATACTGCAAGAAAAAAAAAANGCATGTGTTGGTCTCTTACGCATTTTGTAAGTCTTCCTTCAAACTAAGTCACCCTTAACGAAGCTTCTAGGTCAAACCTTAGTGTTATTATACCTTTGTACAATTACCCTTTTGTAGGTCTCTGCCCACACGATTGCCACTTCTCTTCTCTTCTGTAGAGTGTCAAGCTCCGTCCTTAGTTGTTCGTCATTAAGGTTCATGTCTCAATGTTTCTCCTGTGGTGTCGTGCGGTGACTTATCTACCTAGACACCTTTTGCTTCATCCAAACTTCGCTTCAACTCGACCATAATAATCTTGTTGACTGCTTCAGCTTAATTGTTCGTTTGAAGATGCTCCATGGAACTTGTGACGTGCTTGATGCTAAAGTTCTTGTAAAACTCAGGAATATTTTGTGAATAAATTATTGGCCATTGTCTGTGATGACTGTGTGAGGAAGTCCAAAACGACAAATATTTTTTACACGAATTTATGCACTTGTTGGGCTGTGATGGTTGCCAGAGCTTTAGCATGCACTCTCAGCTTCATATATCACACCAAGTTTCCATCCATTTCTTAGATAATCTCTCCATTGTTATGCTTGTATCGAACCATGTTCTCCTCTCCAAAACTAAGCACTTTGAGTTATACTTGTTTTTTTTCTCGTGATCACATCTAAAAGTAACATCTTCACTTACAATGTATTCCTTATGGCTCTCAGATTGATGATACTTTATCCAAGCCTCTCTTTAGTTCTTCTTTTACTAGTTTTTGCTCTAAACTAATGGTGGATCTTCCCTTTAGGAGTTTACAAGGGGAGATATTACGTGAACCATTGGAACGTCATTGCAACATCTGTCTCATGTCGTTGATGAGAAAGGTCTTTATATAATCCTGTTCTATATATTTCAATAATAATAAAAATATTTTCTTTTGTCTCTATAGATTTTTTCTCTTTCTCTTTTTCTTTTGTATCCTCTTATCCATAATAAGTTCCATAAGCTCAACGTCCTCGACAACAACTAATGCCTCCACGAAGCTCACCATTGGCTTCTGCATCTACACCTACCTAGACATGACGGACAAGAAAATGTCATTTCTCCCACTTTTTCAAAACTGCCATTGTGAGTCATTCATACAAATTGAAAAGTAGCTAAAAAAAAGAACAAGAAAGCAGTAAAATCACACTTTCTATGTAAGTTATAGCATAACTAGCATAGAATGTGAACATTTCGTGTTGAATCCAAGACCATCATAGAAAATAAAAACTTTATATTTCGGTTGTATTTATCTTAGTTCTAAAATTGGTATAGAAATTTTTTTCTTATAGAAAATCTTATTACAATAACGAGGAATGAGTGGTTCTTTATTTCAAACATATACCATCTTTGATGTGGTTAATAGACTATTTAGGTTGTTGCTTAATTCCTCCTCTTCTCAACTCAATTGAGCTATTCTTTTCGTTTATCACTTCAAACTTTTATGTAGAGCTGTCAAAATGAGTAACCCGACTCGACCTGGTCCGACCCATCACGGGTTGGTCATTTAGTGAGTCAACCTAACTCAGTTATTAGTGAGCTGAAAAAATTCGAACCTGACTCGACTCACAGGTTGGTGGGTTAAACGGATTGACTCACTGACTCACTTAACTATAAGTGTTTTTTTAAAATAAAAAAATTATAATTTTTTTTATTTAAATCTAAGTAAATTTCACTCTAAAATGATGTTAAACTGCAAAGACAATTCAAAATAAAAAAAATATCATACAATCCAAGCGTAATCTAAAAACAAACACAAAAGACGAATAAATAAGTTTTTAATATCGATAATTTTTGTATCATTTGTCCATTTATAATATTAGAGTCTTGAATAGATAAATTTATAATATTTTTTCTCTTTGAGACATCTTTGTTTTTATCTCCATCTACAATATAATAAAAAAAATGATAACTAATAATATTGAAACACAAAATACTAAATAATTAAATTAAATTAGATGGGTTGGTGAGTCAACCCAGCTCACCACGAGTTTAACCCGGGTGAGTCGGGTTCTAAGTGAACCGGATTGAAAAGTAACCTACATAAAAAAATTACATTTTTTTCAAATCCAACCCAACTCAAATCTGTGATGGACCGGGTTAGCTCGCGGGTAAGAGTAAGAGATTCCGAGCAAGACATATGTAATGAGTTTAGTACCTATTTTTTTTGCTTTCACAGCATAGTACTTCTTTTCCTTTGGACTCCACCAATGTCATTTTCTAGTCAAACTTCATATGACATCCTCTTATATTATATATTTAATAAAAACAAAAGCTACAATTTTCATTCTGGAGACAATTCAAATTCCTCTTAAAAACTTCTTTTTATTGAAAATACATTATTTCTTTTTCGATAATTGAACTTAAAATGAATATGTATAATACAATAAAAACCGTACTTCAAATGAAGAATTCCGTAAACATAGTAAACTATCGTGTCTATGTACTCCCAACTTAGTTTGATATTAATAAAATATAATAGTCATATCATTCAATAATTAAATTAGAAATTAAATTAGAGTAGAAAATTTTCAAATATTTAATATGTCAATTCAATGTAACAATTATTTCTGGAAGACACCACTAAGATGTCACTAGTGACATCTACTATTCTTGAAAAAGAAAAGTAATTTTTTTTTCAAGAACCAACAAATACACTTGTGATTTCCACCATTCATGAAAACAAAGTATCTACAATTGCTTATTGTAGAAAATATAATGCCCTCCAAGTCCTTCTTATTCCTCTTTCAACTTCTTCCTCTTGATATCTATTAGTGTAGAAATGTCTAATATGAAATTATCTTCTTCAATCTCCCATGAATCTCAGAGCAAATAAATGTCTTTACTTTAGTACTCTAGAAATCATAGTTTTCATCTATAAAGTAAGGTACAAAAGAACAAATGAAAGACGATTAATTAACCATAATAAAAATTTTAGGAGTAATTTGGAATGTAATGAATTTTTTTCATAGATAATTAGACACTATGTCTATTTTAATAAATTATCCAATATAACCCTTTTTCCATCATTAGAATTTAATAGAGTACAGTCAACAAAATTGTCGGCTATACGAGAGGTGAATTTAATGCCTTATTTATTTTACGATGTGAATACTGCAAGAAAAAAAAAAGACAGAAAGTTCTAAAAATAAGAAATAAAAAATTATTAAACATAAAAAATAAGGACGGATTAAAGTAATTATGTCCTTTGTATATACTCAAAATAAATAATTAAAATAAATAAGTACTAATAAAAATATATACTTTTACTTATTTTTATTTTTTTCATCTAACAATCCTCCTTTTTTTTTATTAATTTCTATCTCTTCCTTAAATATTAAGGGGAAAATTGAAAATATTGACATGGGAGATGATTTTATAGAAAAGGGTAGCAATGAAATTATGAAGAAAGTCTTATATTTAGGTAAGGGCCTCATCATTTTGCTTGTGTTTTTTTCCAACAATTCACTGTGTGAAAACGAACATGGGCAGGGATATAATAGAAGAGTACGTTGAAGAGATGGAAAAGTTGTCATTTAAGTTAATGGAGCTTATAGCTTTGAGTTTAGGGCTTGAAGCAAAAAGGTTTGAGGAATTTTTTAAGAAAGATCAAACTAGTTTTCTTCGTCTCAACCATTATCCTCCATGCCCTAATCCTCATCTAGCCCTTGGTGTTGGTCGTCATAAAGATCCTGGAGCCTTAACCATTCTTACACAAGACGAGGTTGAAGGACTTGAAGTGAAACACAAAGCACATGAAGAATGGATAAGAATTAAACCCATCCCAAATGCTTACATTATCAACCTTGGTGATATTGTTCAGGTACCATAGTTTGTTATTAATGTTAATAAAATATAATATAATATGGTAATTTTGTTATTGAAAAATGTATTTTATTATATTTTTTAATAGAGTGAGTAAAGATATGAAATTTACGCAGGTTTGGAGTAACGATGCATTTGAGAGTCCAGAGCATAGAGTGGTGGTGAACTCTGAAAAAGAAAGATTTTCTATGCCATTCTTTTTCTTCCCTGCACAAGAAACTGAGGTCAAGCCTTTGGAGGAGCTGATAAATGATCAAAACCCTTCCAAATATAGGTCATACAAATGGGGCAAGTTTCTTGTTCACAGATTCAACACTAATTTCAAGAAACATAAGGTGGGTAACATTCAAATTTATGATTATAAGATAATATAGCATATTAGCAATAACATTTTTCTTATGCATGAAAATTATGAATTGGGTATAATATGTAGCACCGTTGATCCAAAACACTGTTTCTGTTTCTGAAATGAATGGATGTAATCAAATTTGCTGCTAAATTCCCTAGCTAGTGTGCTTCGTGTATGAAATAATCAAGTACCATTTATCAAGTTTATCTATATAATGTGGGAATTGCACTTGGACTTTATTTTCAGTTAACGATTTTCACCTTGATTTTATTTTGCTACAATTTTTGTTGATTATGAATTATTCTTTTCTTTCATTATAGGATTAAATATGTTATAGACCTAGTATCCTTTTATGTTTAGATGGACTAATTAATGTGTGTGTTTGGAGGGTCAACTACAACAATTGTCTATTACAACAATTATCTATTAAGTAAGTTTCATTAAAAAGTAGTTATATTATACTTAAATGAAATTATTATCAATTTTTCTTTTTAAATATTTAAGTTTAATTAGGTGGAAGACATCTTAGCTCACACATTCCTTTCACCATTTTTCCAATGAGTTTGAAATTTGAATTTTTGAAATAGTAAATATTATAAAAAGGGAGATTTGAATTGTGATTTTTAAAATTTTGTAATTTTTCATTTTATATCTTCTAAAGATGTAAAGTAAGTGAAAGATAGACAATTTAATAAAAGTTTTCACAAGTTTAAAAATCTTTATTCTTATGTTAATTAGTTTAATAGTTATAACATGTAATATAACATATTAAGAAAATAAAAAATACTAATTTTTTATATCATCTTATCACACAAATATAATCCCATTCTTTATCAAATAGTCAAGTTTTACTAAACAAATTAATGTTGCAAAATACAATAAAATATTTTTAGACTTTCAATCTTTTATGCTTGACCTCATTACAGTCTATTTGGATCACTGTACAAAAGAATATTTACATTGGACAAAACCGACGAAGAGAGTGAATGAATGATTTCTTAATAAAAGTTTATACCTTTAAAATTTCCCCTATCAGAGTAATTACAATAAAATCTTTTTCTTTATAATATCAACATATAAATAAAAAGAGTAGTGAAAGAGAAAATTGCATAAATTATTTCATACCGTTCAGATTAAAAGACCCAATTGTTAATCATTTTTAAATGAGAGATTAACTAATCACTAAAATAAATTAAAATTACAGACAGAAGTAATAACATTTTAGGAGAGAAATCATTTCTCTTAAAGTCATAAGAGATGAGAAACATTTCATTTTTGAAATCCACACGATGAACACTTCTTTTGAATTCTATAAAGGATGAACATTTACCTAGCAAGAGTAACATCATCTTATTACCTAAGATCTTAGTAAAATTTACACACTACCCACAATAAGTTTCAAAACATTTCACAAAGAGATTTTCAATTCTAAATACTTGTTCTTTTTGCATTTCAACTATCACCAATAATCAAATATTATAAATGATAATAAATTACTCATGTATCGTTTCTCAAAAAGAATTTCTCTAAAATAATCCATTATAGTGTAATCAATTATAATCATATACTTTTGAAAATATTATATTTCTATACTTAAACATTTTAACTAATTTCTAAATATATTACAAAGGCAAAATCATTACAAACAAAATTTACAGGTCTTCCAACTTCTTTTTAAACCTTCGGCCTTGGAATCATCATCAAAATAATATTAATCTTTTTTTTTTCTCAACAATCTCCGTAAATATTTTTGTTTAAATGTTTTTGTAACAAACCTGCAAACACAAATAATCTTTTCTTTNGAATTCCGTAAACATAGTAAACTATCGTGTCTATGTACTCCCAACTTAGTTTGATATTAATAAAATATAATAGTCATATCATTCAATAATTAAATTAGAAATTAAATTAGAGTAGAAAATTTTCAAATATTTAATATGTCAATTCAATGTAACAATTATTTCTGGAAGACACCACTAAGATGTCACTAGTGACATCTACTATTCTTGAAAAAGAAAAGTAATTTTTTTTTCAAGAACCAACAAATACACTTGTGATTTCCACCATTCATGAAAACAAAGTATCTACAATTGCTTATTGTAGAAAATATAATGCCCTCCAAGTCCTTCTTATTCCTCTTTCAACTTCTTCCTCTTGATATCTATTAGTGTAGAAATGTCTAATATGAAATTATCTTCTTCAATCTCCCATGAATCTCAGAGCAAATAAATGTCTTTACTTTAGTACTCTAGAAATCATAGTTTTCATCTATAAAGTAAGGTACAAAAGAACAAATGAAAGACGATTAATTAACCATAATAAAAATTTTAGGAGTAATTTGGAATGTAATGAATTTTTTTCATAGATAATTAGACACTATGTCTATTTTAATAAATTATCCAATATAACCCTTTTTCCATCATTAGAATTTAATAGAGTACAGTCAACAAAATTGTCGGCTATACGAGAGGTGAATTTAATGCCTTATTTATTTTACGATGTGAATACTGCAAGAAAAAAAAAAGACAGAAAGTTCTAAAAATAAGAAATAAAAAATTATTAAACATAAAAAATAAGGACGGATTAAAGTAATTATGTCCTTTGTATATACTCAAAATAAATAATTAAAATAAATAAGTACTAATAAAAATATATACTTTTACTTATTTTTATTTTTTTCATCTAACAATCCTCCTTTTTTTTTATTAATTTCTATCTCTTCCTTAAATATTAAGGGGAAAATTGAAAATATTGACATGGGAGATGATTTTATAGAAAAGGGTAGCAATGAAATTATGAAGAAAGTCTTATATTTAGGTAAGGGCCTCATCATTTTGCTTGTGTTTTTTTCCAACAATTCACTGTGTGAAAACGAACATGGGCAGGGATATAATAGAAGAGTACGTTGAAGAGATGGAAAAGTTGTCATTTAAGTTAATGGAGCTTATAGCTTTGAGTTTAGGGCTTGAAGCAAAAAGGTTTGAGGAATTTTTTAAGAAAGATCAAACTAGTTTTCTTCGTCTCAACCATTATCCTCCATGCCCTAATCCTCATCTAGCCCTTGGTGTTGGTCGTCATAAAGATCCTGGAGCCTTAACCATTCTTACACAAGACGAGGTTGAAGGACTTGAAGTGAAACACAAAGCACATGAAGAATGGATAAGAATTAAACCCATCCCAAATGCTTACATTATCAACCTTGGTGATATTGTTCAGGTACTATAGTTTGTTATTAATGTTAATAAAATATAATATAATTTGGTAATTTTGTTATTGAAAAATTTATTTTATTATATTTTTTAATAGAGAGTGAGTAAATATATGAAATTGTTTACGCAGGTTTGGAGTAACGATGCATTTGAGAGTCCAGAGCATAGAGTGGTGGTGAACTCTGAAAAAGAAAGATTTTCTATTCCATTCTTTTTCTTCCCTGCACAAGAAACTGAGGTCAAGCCTTTGGAGGAGCTGATAAATGATCAAAACCCTTCCAAATATAGGTCATACAAATGGGGCAAGTTTCTTGTTCACAGATTCAACACTAATTTCAAGAAACATAAGGTGGGTAACATTCAAATTTATGATTATAAGATAACATAGCATATTAGCAATAACATTTATCTTATGCATGAAAATTATGAATTGGGTATAATATGTAGCACCGTTGATCCAAAACACTGTTTCTGTTTCTGAAATGAATGGATGTAATCAAATTTGCTGCTAAATTCCCTAGCTAGTGTGCTTCGTGTATGAAATAATCAAGTACCATTTATCAAGTTTATCTATATAATGTGGGAATTGCACTTGGACTTTATTTTCAGTTAACGATTTTCACCTTGATTTTATTTTGCTACAATTTTTGTTGATTATGAATTATTCTTTTCTTTCATTATAGGATTAAATATGTTATAGACCTAGTATCCTTTTATGTTTAGATGGACTAATTAATGTGTGTGTTTGGAGGGTCAACTACAACAATTGTCTATTACAACAATTATCTATTAAGTAAGTTTCATTAAAAAGTAGTTATATTATACTTAAATGAAATTATTATCAATTTTTCTTTTTAAATATTTAAGTTTAATTAGGTGGAAGACATCTTAGCTCACACATTCCTTTCACCATTTTTCCAATGAGTTTGAAATTTGAATTTTTGAAATAGTAAATATTATAAAAAGGGAGATTTGAATTGTGATTTTTAAAATTTTGTAATTTTTCATTTTATATCTTCTAAAGATGTAAAGTAAGTGAAAGATAGACAATTTAATAAAAGTTTTCACAAGTTTAAAAATCTTTATTCTTATGTTAATTAGTTTAATAGTTATAACATGTAATATAACATATTAAGAAAATAAAAAATACTAATTTTTTATATCATCTTATCACACAAATATAATCCCATTCTTTATCAAATAGTCAAGTTTTACTAAACAAATTAATGTTGCAAAATACAATAAAATATTTTTAGACTTTCAATCTTTTATGCTTGACCTCATTACAGTCTATTTGGATCACTGTACAAAAGAATATTTACATTGGACAAAACCGACGAAGAGAGTGAATGAATGATTTCTTAATAAAAGTTTATACCTTTAAAATTTCCCCTATCAGAGTAATTACAATAAAATCTTTTTCTTTATAATATCAACATATAAATAAAAAGAGTAGTGAAAGAGAAAATTGCACAAATTATTTCATACGGTTCAGATTAAAAGATCCAGTTGTTAATCATTCTTAAATGAAAGATTAACTAATCACTAAAATAAATTGAAATTACAAATAGAAGTAATAACATTTTAAGACAGAAATCATCTCTCTTGAAATCATAAAAGATGAGAAACACTTCATTTGAAATCCACACGATGAACACCTCTTTTGAATTCTATAAAGGATGAACATTTACCTAACAAGAGTAGCATCACCTTATTACCTAAGATCATACTTAGTAAAATTTACACACTACCCACAATAAGTTTCAAAGCATTTCACAAACAGATTTTCAATTCTAAAAACTTGTTTTTTTTTTCATTTCAACTATCACCAATAATCAAATATTTTAAATGATAATAGATTAATCATGTATCGTTTCTCAAAAAGAATTTCTCTAAAATAATCCATTATAGTGTAATCAATTATAATCATATACTTTTGAAAATATTATATTTCTATACTTAAACATTTTAACTAATTTCTAAATATATTACAAAGGCAAAATCATTACAAACAAAATTTACAGGTCTTCCAACTTCTTTTTAAACCTTCGGCCTTGGAATCATCATCAAAATAATATTAATCTTTTTTTTTTCTCAACAATCTCCGTAAATATTTTTGTTTAAATGTTTTTGTAACAAACCTGCAAACACAAATAATCTTTTCTTTGCTTCTCTTTAAACATTCAGACTTGGGATCATCATAAAAATAATATCAACTTTTTTTTTCTCAACAATCTCTCCACTTTTATGATGGTAAATTTTTTTGTTTAAATGTTTTTGTAACAAACATGCAAACACAAATAATCTACCAGAGATGAAAACATTAAGCATTAATAAATTTCTTAAGACATTAGGCTTTAAACTTTTTCGCCCCTTTTTTTTTATCATAACCAAATTAAAACAAGTATGCTAAAAAAAATAAAATAGAACTCCTCTTAAAGAAGAAATTTTATATAATACAAAAGATATGAAAATAAGTAATCACCACTCATTGTAAAAGTGCTCCTCAAGCTTGTCTTCCATATGGTAGACTTTATTATCAAGTTTACTAATTAAAGTGCAAACCTCTTGATGCCTAGATTCTTGAAGAGAATATATTTTTTTCTAGTGTTTGACTTATATTTGAAATATTAGTTTTTAAAAAACAAGTCGAAAGATGTCAAGAAAAGGTGAGTCAAGAATAAGAAGAGGTTGGTCATAATGAAAATGAAGTCACCAAAGATAATAGAAAAGCCTGTCAAAACAACAGAAAGTCGGTTGGCCATGAATAAAGAACTTGAATCTAATTGAAAGAAGTAAGTCTGATGTGAAATGATGCACATGAAAAATCAAAATCAAAGTACAAGAATGAAGAATGGACAAATTTAAGTTTATGGGTTACTTTTATTAGATAAATTTAAATTATGAAAGGTAACTTTTTGGTGTGAGATTTTATTTTTCAGGGTCACGGATTAGTTGTATCGCATACAGTATTTATTATTTGTTTCGGTTTTTATTTTCAATTTTACTATAGCAGCCCAGCCAGCCATTAGCTATTGTTATTTTTGTTTCTGATTTTATTTCCCAGTCCATGTGCAAGGATATTTAAAGGCCAACAAAGTTTAATGAATTAGAACACAGTTGTCTGTGTGTGCAGCGTTATTTTTTACAATTATGTGACTGGACCACACATGCTACCTATGTCATTTGAATGTAGATCTGTCTGAACATTGAAAACCAAACACAGCCTTACTAGTATACAAACACAAGACACGTGGTAGCATAAGAGATACTAGTCCAGGTTCAACGCACATAACACAACTCAAAACATTCAGTGTCAGACATCTTTCGATCAAACAAATAAAACATTACAACAACAAGACAAGCAACATGGGAGATGTAGTAGACTTTGCTTTTGTTCAGGCACCAGAACACAGGCCAAAATCCTCAGTGATCGTGGCGGAAGGCATCCCTCTGGTTGATCTGTCTCCCATAAACTACCAAATCGAAGACTCCATCCCAGTTTCTTGTATCCAAGGCTTAGTCAAAGAAATAGGCAGTGCTTGCAAGGAGTGGGGTTTCTTTCAGGTGATCAATCATAAGGTGCCTTTAGATAAACGACAGAGGATTGAAGAGGCTGCAAGGAAGTTTTTTGCCCTTGATTTGGAGGAAAAACTGAAGGTGAGAAGGGACGCAGTTAACGTGTTGGGGTACTTTGAAGCAGAACATACCAAGAATGTTAGGGACTGGAAAGAAATCTATGATTTCAATGTTCAGGAACCCACTTTTATACCACCTTTACTTCAACATGATGATGATCAAAGCGTTCAGTTCCAATGGGATAATCGCTGGCCTCACAATCCTCCAGATTTCAAGTAATTCAATACCCAGAGTTTTATTAGGCCATAATATATTTCTGCTATCAAATTTGAGTTTTTAATTTCATATACTGTAAAAAATCTACACCTTCAATTCTCTCTCTATGTTGTATTTGTTTTACAAAGGTGAGGACTAAGTTTGGATTTAAAGTCTCATCTTGTACTAACAGTAAAACACTGATCTGATACCAGAGAAGCATGCAAAGAATATGCACAAGAAGTGGAGAAACTTGCTTATAAGTTGATGGAACTTGTTGCCCTGAGCTTAGGCTTAGAGGCAAATAGGTTTCGCAGCTACTTCACACATAACACCAGCAATATCAGACTCAACCATTATCCACCTTGCCCCTACCCTCTTTTGGCTCTTGGCCTTGGACACCACAAGGACACTGGTGTTTTGACTGTGCTTGCTCAAGATGAAGTTGGTGGTCTAGAAGTCAGGAGAAAATCAGATGGAGAGTGGATTCGAGTCAAGCCCATTTTCAATTCCTTCATCATTAATGTTGGTGATATGATCCAGGTATCAAAGTTTTCTCAGATTGGATGCAAATCCATATTGTCCTTGTGGTAGAATTTCATATTATCTTTCAATTTTCTCTTTAGTTTGATTTTGTCTGTTTGATTCGTCTGTCATTTCATCTTGTATGTTTCAGCCTGATAGCATAGACTATTCTGACTGCGTGTTTAGTTTGATAAGTTCCATGTGAGCTCTCTTTTGTGAATGTAGATTTGGAGCAATGATGCTTATGAGAGTGTGGAGCACAGAGTTGTGGTGAACTCTGAGAAGGATAGGTTTTCAATTCCGTTCTTTCTAAAACCAGCACTGTACACTGATGTGATGCCCTTTGAAGAGTTGCTTGGCGATGAAAACCCTCCTAAATATAGATCACTCAACTGGGGCAAGTTCCGCACGGCAAGAATGCGTAGTAATTTTGCCAAATCCAATGTTGAAAACCTCCAAATTTATCATTTCAAGTTCCCAAGTGACTCAATCTAAGTTCATAATTTGATGAGTATGTGAACTTGAACTTTATATACATTGTAAATACTTCTAGTAGTTTAACAAATCCATATTTAAGAAACATAATAATAATATCCATCATATAGAATGCATTCTCAAATATTATCCAAACCACAAGCCCACAGAAATACTAAATTGCTTTGGAAGGTATTGAAAACTACTTGAGTGTGCTTCCTCAATTTTTGTTTTAAATGTGAAATTAAGTTATCATAAATCTATTTTTCTTTATAAAATAATGTTAATTATTAGTATTTTATTAGTGGAAAAGTTGAATTCAACCTCTCCTACTTTTTCTTCCAAATTCTCCAAATGAATCTTATAAATCTGAAATATTAGTAAGAAAAATTGAACATACAATCTTTCATACTCTCAAAGATCTAATTTTAATGATTCAGTGCTATACAAATTCTCCTAAAATAAT